TCAAATGTAATAGTGAAATATCGTCATCAGGTGATTTCTTTGAAGCCAAATATCAAAATCAAATTTGAAATGTTGATGCCCAGTTAAAATTCGGCAACTTATTGAAGTGATGTATTCACATACTAAATATCATAAAAAGTCCTTTCTACAAACATGCAAATTCTATGAGAACCGAGTCGTCATAAATATACCAACAGTTATATCAATGTGAAAGGTTCAAAATCAAATATAAAAATCAATGCCATAAAAATGCAAACAAAGTTCGACTTTGTTGTCAAAGGTGGCATCTTCAAGAGGTAATGTAATTAAAAATGTATTAGATGTTGGATTCTGAATATTTTGGTCTTAATCATCACTGATGAGACATTAATTTTCCGCGTCCATATCGTGTACAGTAGAATAGTAATGTGAAATCTTAATGTAAAACAAACTCATTGTAACCTCTAAAAAGTTAATACTGTGACCAAGACACAATCTTGTGACACAAAAATCAAGTAATTTTTCCCTGCTCTCTAGATATAGTTAGAATATTTGTGTCGTTGATACAAAATGTATGGCTATCTCTGTTATTAATATATCACATATTTGTTTATAGATATTAGGTCTATCTATTAACACATCTTTTTTAACTACATAGATTTTGAACGTACACACCTATTAGAGTTGGAGTTTTTGGTGAAATGACGATTTTTGAAGACACAAGTTCACTCCTAATATACATCTTGTTTACAGCTTTAATACTAGTTGTAAAGTTTCCAGAGCTAAGATCGAGTCCTTTCAACAAACAGAAGGAAGTATCTTGGTACTCAGCGATTATTGATTTAGAAATCACAGTTGTCTTATCTTGGCTTTGGAAAGTAAGCTGAAAAATAATATTGTTTGTATTGGTCTCAAGAAATATTGTTTTTTTTTTCGCACGTTACATTAAAAAAAATCAAACCTATATATGAAATTATAGTCAAAACTGGTGAATTTCATGGCTTTCTCAAAAAAATATAATTTTGTTGTTTGAAATTTAAAATCCACAAATGAATGCAATTGTATCATATAATAATGTAATTGTGTGCTACCAAAAAAAAAGGATAAACAATTATATATGTTTATAGCAAACAATACGACAATCTATAGTCTCCTGAAAGATATCTACTTAAACAATTATAAAGAGAATAAAAGTCTCAAAATATGCACACTGCCTAAGTATTAAAAGTTTAGAAATTTTGAACGATATGGGTTAAAAACTGAAGGAGTAAATAATGTAATTGGAATTACTTAACGAAAACGCTGGTTATGATTGACCAATTTTCAACTTGAAAATATTGCCAATCATCTCACACCAAATCCACACACAAGAAAGCCTGACAATCACCATGCTATATGCTGGATTGTTGTCTTTTTGAACCGACCAAACCATACAAAAAGTATGCAAGAAACTAACTTCTTTTCAATTGACATCAATAAAAGAATAAATCTTAACTACGACTTACAAGGTAAGAATCGACACCTGTCAGATCATCAAACCCTGTCCATTTTACCCTTACGTATGAAGTGTCCCCTTGATAATGATTCCTAGGGTTATACTCTGTTAATGAATGTGGTAGAATTTCTACTTCCGCAGTCGTTGTACTTGGTGGAAGATTTGATATTTTAACACCGTTTGATGACTTAGAAGACAGTAATCCGGCTTTACTTCTACATCGTAAGGTCACGTGGATCATATGCATTGATATTTGGATGCTGGGAAACACTTTTGATACCCTATTTACTCCTTTAACTAATTCTTTGAATGTTTGGATTTCATTGCCGAACGGTTGGTAACCTACAATAAAAACGATTCGTATTGCTGGACATTTGATATGACAAAGGTTTTTACAAATAGATTGTACATCGACATTGAACGAAACTGTCGACTTGAACATTATATTTTTGTTGTCGACCACATAACTTTCAAATATGCCAGTAAAAGGAACACCAAAATCGCATCACATGTACAAGCATTTTAATGAAAATTTATATGTATGATATATGCAGAAGAATTGCTTAATTTGCAGAACGAGAGGGGATTTTCTTCCCAATTATGGCAAAATTGTGTTGATAATTGTTTTGTTCTATATTGCATTCTTGTATGCATACTTGAAGTTAATTAATGCAATTGAAATGTCATTATTTTGTTTCATAGATTGATTGGCGGTTGCTTCACGCCGCCTGAACACAAAAAAGATATATACTTTGTTTCAACTCAAATCTTTAATTGCTAAGGTCGAAATTACAGGAAAAGTAAAGTGCAAAAAAACTAAACTAGTACAGTATCTTTTTTTGTAAAAATGAACACAAATGACAAACATGATTTCCAGAAATATCCTTAGCTTTTATAGTTATAAGAAGATGTGGTATGAGTGCCAATGAGACAACTCTCCATCCAAGTCACAATATATAAAAGTAAACCATTATAGGTCAAAGTACGGCCTTCAACAAGGAGCCTTGGCTCACGCCGAACAGCAAGCTATAAAGGGCTTCAAAATGACTAGTGTAAAACCATTCATACAGGAAAACAAACGGTATAATCTATATAAAAAACGAGAAACAAGAAACACTTAAGAACCACATCAACAAACGACAACCACTGAACAACAGGTTCCTGATTTAGGATAGGTGCATACAAATGTCGAGTTGAGTCGTTCTCACTCATAACTCTGTTAAAACAAACAGCTTTTGTTACTTGAGCACACCGCTGTTTATGAAGTTCTTTAAGTGAAGACAGGCACCAGCATAACGTAATATTTGAGATTTGTAAATGCCATGATAAACACAAAAATATTGCAAATTTGTCGCAGAATCGTTTGAAGGTTAAGTACTTTGAGGTTAATTTCCGTTGATGATGATGAATTGCTGTTAAACGTCCAGTGGCAAATTAAATGCATATTAAGGACTAGAACATATTAATTTGATATGAATTTTGACCCTTCTTTGTACTACTAGTAGACCGACACAATGAGTCGAAAGTATAACATGTTAGTTCAAAAGGTAACAGTGTACAGGAAGACATGTCATCGTACCCGGATACATTATTCTAATTTCATGCCAGCCAGTCTTGCTCTTAATCAAAGAAGCAACACGTGAACCAACTGAAAAACAAGACAAACTGACAACGCCATGGCAAAAAACGAATAAAGACGAAAAGACAAACAACATGCTTCAAAACACAACATAGAAAACTAAAGACTAAGCACCATGAGCACCACCAAAACACCGGGGGCGATCTCTGATGTTCTCGAAAGACAAGCATTGCCTGCCCCATTTACTATCTAAGTCGTTATGTCAAAATATAGATGTCTTTGGTGTTTTAACATAAAATATTTAAATGAACATGTCATATTTTATACCTGCATTATCTTTTAAATATTTGCAAGCCTTTGTTCCTTCCGTACATATACTTACCTACCGCCCATTCACAGACATCAATACCAGATTCAGCGTCATTCACCTCCCAGTTAGCAGATACTTGATCGGTAGTTTGTGCATCTATGTCAGATCCTAAAATAAACAGAAACATATGAGTTATGCTTATCTTTCGGTTGATAAACCATAGATGATTTGTTATTATAACTGTTCGTTTTTGTCCCTTCTGCTTACTTTATATATATTTGTGATATATTAAGCTAACTTCCGCTGTACATCATTCTTACTTCCAACTCATTTCGTATGTTTTCCCCTTACTTGCAAATGAGAACTCATGACTTAAGTAGTGATATGACGTTGATTCACATTGCAAGCAAAAATCTTTTAAATGAAAACGCATACCTACCTTTTCTCGACTGTACTCATTGACTGAATGGAATCATCCAATAAAATTTAATCAATATCTTGTTTTCGCATAATATTAAGTTACCGCTACTCTTATCATGAAGACAAATATTTTAAATGCACAATCCAAATACATCAAGTAATTTACAATGACAAAGTTTTGACTTTATTTTTTATGTACAAACCTTTTCCATCATTTATAAAATCTATAATTGGTGGCGTTAAGTCGACGAGAAGATCCTCGGCATGTACTTCGCGTCTCAATCCTGCAGCGTTTGTAGCAATGACAGTGATATGAATGACTGACATATGGGCTAAACTGACGTTGTAATTATAAGCAAAATTATTTAGGCCGACACTGGTGAATCCTTGGATTTCTGTACTTCCTTCTGTATATCCTAGAAGTAAAAATAATTTTGTAATTGCCTTGGTGTACTGTATAATGAATAATGTATAGAAGACATTCCTGTTTTAGCATTTCTTTTCAGAAATATACTTTACGTAGCTGTAGATTGTACATCATATATGAAAAAAAAACCGTTGGAGTCAACATTTTCAGGTTTTTAAGAATTTTAATTTACAAAAAAAATAAATTATATATGCAACGAAATTACAGCTGATAATTGACAGTTTGTGGAACTGTTTTAAAACTCTATGATTTCTATTTACCAATAGCCCACATGTAGTCTATTATGGGACTCTCTGGATCAACAAAATTCCATGATGCGTGGATCGACGACCATTGATGCAGAGCAACCACATGTGCATGAATATGTTTGCCATTTTCATTTTCATCGCTGTGATGATGGAAAATGGTCCTCTGAACTTGCAAATCATCGAATAAAATGCCCGTATTACCGGTCATGCTTCCAATACTGATTGTTGCTTCAGTAGTAAAGGCACGGAAGTAGAATGTGTGGTGGTGCCAGTTTAATTCTAAATAGGAACTACCGTGTTTGTCATGCTTTGTGTAGACGATGAATACGTGTCTTTTATCTCCAATTTCTACATATCCTTCTTTATTAGCTAAAACAGCCCCAAGTATGGGTGGATGAGCGGTTACAAAAGTAACACGGAATAAATGTCCAGCTTTCAGATTACTTAATGTTTGTGATATTTGTCCTTCGACAAATACGAAGGATCGTCCGTCTATTGCTTGATTTTTACCGGACTTTAAAACACTCACACAGCTCCCTATTGAACTATTCCATTGAGAGGCACGTACAATAGTATTGCATAAATTTATATTGGTTATATTATCCCAGTCAATCGGTACACCTTCGGTATCCTCAAATGAAGGATTTACAGCTTCATTGTGATCCAAATGTTCCATTAAAGTAGGTTCTGGATGTGTAGAGTCAATCATGATGCCATTTGATTTAACAGTGAGAGATTTGTGTCCTATAACATCCATTGCATAAACAAGACTCTCGATTTCAGCTCCTGCATTAAGAAAATGTTGATTATCACATATATTCATCATGATGGAAATTGTTTATATTTTCTTTGTATTCCCAAATATATTTTATCTTATAATAAATATATTTTGAACATTGTGAAAAGGAAAATTTGTTAAATTGATTCTTCTCAATACAACTTCTTAATAATTAAATAAAAACATTGAAGGCCTTTTAATTTTGCATAGTACAATGCATTCGGTTTCATTGTACTAGTTCAAATTTAAAGACAAATAAAAAGTTGTTAAACCTTTATATTTTCTTTGAAATTTTATATCAACATAATTACCTGTATCAATGTATGAACTGTCGATAATCCTGGACACAGAATGATGAATTCCAACATTTTCCCATTCTCTGACATCACATGTTGAAGTTTTCGATTTGGTTTGTACACACCACATGTAATGTTCTATTCCAGAATCTCGGTCAGAAAATCCATACCACGAAGCCCCGATAATTTCCGAATTGTTCTGGTAATCAATGTCGTGTACACCTATTAATAAAAACGTATATAGCATGTTTGTTACTTTTTTAACAGCACCAATATTGTCTAGAAATTCAATATCATTAAACAAAAATTAGAAAGTACATTTTATGAACTGATTTGTAGTGTATTCTTTTATTTCTCTTTGAAAGTCCCCTGATTGAGTTTGAAAGCTGAAGTTGAGATCATGTGCCTGTCCCTAAGTCAAGAAAATATCTCGTGATGTGTTGTTAGTTTTCATGTCCATAAGTCGAAAACAAACTGAAAACGTCTTGGCAAAAACTCAGAACTCAAAACGACCAAACGACAAACAGTGTATATTAAACAACATAGAAAACTAAAGACTGATCAACCTAACACTCATAGCTTGGCATATTGTATACAATGTCTATTGTTGGCTAAGAAAAAAATCGCAAACTTACTTGTTTTCATGCCCCACCTACGATAGTAGTATCTTTAAAAGTATATATGTAATCTATATGCGATCCACATTTTGAATACAATGGCATTGTAAATCTTTGTTGATTAGTTTTGATAAGGCTGTTATTTCCAAATTTAGTAAAATCATTAATGTACATTTAACCAAATTATATTATCACAAACAGTTCAAAAAAACTGGTTGCAGAGAGTCAACCATGATGCTGTCTAGAGTTTTTGTTGATGAGGTTTTAAAGATGGGATATAAATATAAATTTATCTATTAATATCAATACCGTCGTATGTACTCAAACATTCATTGCGTCTTATTTCCGTTTCCCCCACCCATATTTAATAGAATTTATTTAATACTACCAACCTATACCATCATAGCCAGTACCAGTAACTGGTGGCAGAGAGTCAACCATGATGCCATCTGATGATTCAGTAGCATGGATACCAGAGTAGCTGTATCCCACTACATTACTGTAAAATACTTTTCCTGGAGATAATGGTACTCGACTGATGTTATGAGACGTAATTGATCCTGGTAGATCCAATTCCACTTCATGTATATCATGACCTTTAACGATATTATTGTTCAATTGAAATTACTAGTTATAATAACTGGGTCTTTTTATTAACACCAGTAAGAATGTTTGAAAGGTAGAAAGGTAAAATTAACTCTCATAAGGAAAATAAAACGCAATCATAATCAAAGGATGAAAATTGAAAAATTGAACTATTATCTTTGCTCTTGAAAACAGTGGTTAACTCTTTTTGACAATACAAAGGGAATGTGTTTGGCTCATAATAGCGCCAATATTCAAAAAAACATATACGTGTACCTCCAGGATATGTACTAAGATACACTTTGAACTTGTCAATAATTTTGGCATCATCCTTAAACACGTTTGTCCATCTGATTGTAAAAGGAGCTCCAGGTTTAATATAATCTATATCCTTCTTCCAGTGACCCGGTATTTGCTCTACAATCTGAAGTAATTGATTTGAAAATAAAATGTGAGTTCAAATATCTCTTTGGTATCTTTCGCCTGTCTATTATCACACTGTTTCATAAACTAACTGTTACGGGGATGTTTAACGACCTTAACTACCCATGAGGGTTTCGCAACAACAGTAAATGAAATATATAACAAAAACCTTATAACAAATAACATTGGTTAAAATTTTCTCCAACATTTAGAAAATATAGTTGTTTTATCATAAGTATAAACTTATATCCTGATAAGGGAGAAACTGTTTTAAATATTTAACATTATTAGAGCTAAACATCTATTTTTCACGTTCTCTAATTTTGAGAAATATGCAAATTTAAATCTGGTGAAAGGTACAAGATTGGGAAAATCTTTATCGACAGATAAAGTGATTCTGACAAAGGATCGGAGCTGCTATTCTTAGTTAAATACTAGATTTTGTAGATTTCTTGTAGATAATTTTGAGCAATATTTAAACATATGATTTACGTATTGGACAGTTTTTATGTGTTTACATTGTACATGCTTTGCCCAATGATCATGTTCTGTAATATATGTAGACAACAAATCTTTATATTCTGCTATTAGTCGTGATAAAAGTTCAACAGTCGTCTAATCTGTAATTTTACCAATCGTGTCCTATTCCCGATCGTGAGGTTATGACGGAGTGTGGATTTGCTGGCGGTGATGCATTCATAACAGGAGACGTTTGCCTTGTTGATGGACCAGGTTGCGCTTATTTGTGGAGTTCATGTCGTTCTCTCGGTTTTATTTGTTACCTTTATTTGCCTTCTTAATCGATTTATGAGATTTGAACTTTGGTAAACTACTGTAATTAACTAGAAAGGAACACAATGATACACTTATGAAAAAAATATCTAATGATTTGATCGTACACAATGCTTTAAGAAAATATAAATAAAATATTATATGGAGTCACCGAACTCATTCCTTCCTATACGACAAATGGGTTAAATGTCCTGTTCTTTCTTATATAAAACAAATAATTTGAGGTACTAAAAGAAAGCAATTTTTAACTCCTTGGTATCAATTAAAATATTTCCGTACTTGAGACAACATATCAATATCAAATATATTTTGTGATTTAATTGAAAAGTTATAAACCTATTTGCAAATGGTAGTTCTATTTCTTGACCTTTAGTTTTCGATCCAGGAATGCAAATGAATCCCATTCAAACATTTACATTTTTATTTGTTCATGATCATTAAATTTAATGGGAACATGATACGCATCAAAAACACTTTTTTCAAGCAGTCTTTAAAGGAAAAAAATCACAAATATCTCTGATTGATTTTTGTAACCACAGAAATATATATTCTTTATTTCTATAGTCTCCTTTTTTAAGTTGAACTATTTAATTTCAATGATTATCATAATACAGGTGGGAGGGCAAAGTACATTTCAATGAATATTTGTTTCCCAAAACAAAAGATGGAACTACAAACCGCCGATCCTTTTATTTTTCGTCTTGGTAGAGGAGTTGACATAGCTAATATTCCATTTGTTTTAAAATCAGCAAATGTATCGTCATCATACCATACTCGTACAAACATTGAATACGATACTGGTGATTCCTTTAACCGTTGACCTATATTTGATAATCAATACATATTGCAAATTCAATAAAACATAACCATAAAGTTAAAATTATCACAAAGTTGAATAATATAAAATACAATGAAGTGCAACTATGTATTTGAATACGGAGATCTGGGTAATACATATTAATAACCCAGCAATTCAATGACAAAAAAAAGTTAATAATGGCACCATTTTCACAAGGTGTCGAAACAATTGGTCAGACAAAGTAGTTTCATTTTTTTTTTTACAGGATCCTCACCAACGTCTAGGGAACCTATTGAAAATACAACATGCAAATCAAAGCATTATGCATGAAATGACATAAGGAATACTATTAATCATGTTCAACGAGCATTTTAAAATAGTTCTCGTAATAAAAGTGTTGTTTTCATTGTATGAAAATTATAGAACATGTGTTCACCAAAATAACTGCTTTCACAATCGGGGTACACAATGTAGCAAACACTGCTTACCCATAAAGCGGTCAATCCAATTTTTCAGCAAGTTTTGTGTGAGGTTGTTGTCTGAAACTGTCGTATTCTGCATATTTGTATGTGTACCATTGTAAAACTGTTTGCTTTATCGTTTTGTTTTCTTTTGGCAATTGCTATTTCAAAACTCTTGTCGATACTACTCATTTAAAATGTTTGGAAGCCCACTCGATTTCGTGACTAATGCAATTCCTTTTTCATATAGTCATTATCATTTTGATTATAATTTATGGTAATAATTATGGCATTGACTACTTTGTATCAAGATGAATTTCATAATTGTACCTCGTTTAATGTTCAATATTGCCTGATTTGTTTGCCCTGCATGATGCCAGATATCGTCGTTTAAATTGTCAAAGACGCCTTCAGGTTCATCTTTATCTGAATATCCCGCTGTCCATTCATACCTTGAACAATATAAAATATTTAAAATACATGAATTTCCTGTGTTGTTCCGCCTCCCTTTTGCGAGCTGATATTTGTCTAAGATGAATTATAATGATTTATCAAACATGATTATCTATTCTTTTAGCCAATGAGAAAAGAGAAATGTTATTGTCATATAATAATATAATAAAGCAAATCATTTACTAATTAGTACAGAGATTATAGAAAAAGATGATTCTTTGTAATATTTGCCAACCATTGTTTAAGACCATCACTTCTTTGAAGTCACTCAACTTTTTAACTAAATTTGAACCTGCGTTTTGATACATACACATTTCTTTCAATATAAATAAGTTAAATCATTCCAGTTTCCCTTTGACACACAGCACTATGTTTACAGCTGTATACCTTACAAGGGATTTATCAGATCAACGAAAT